AATTCGTACTCTAATAAGAATGCTATGCGTTAGAGCGAGCAAGTTAGAAACATCGGAGTTTTGATGACAGTATACATACTGTGAAGAAATGTCACTTTGCGAAAATTTTGAAGGTAAGAATACGTATTTAACAATTTTATTAAATTATAATGTAATTTCTTCTTTTAGATTGCAAAACAGCAGCGACTTAGTCACATTCTTAAGGTATGTATTGAGACTTTTTATATGTTTATAAATTTGAATTGATATTTTTGTTTGTTAACAGATTGGGATTCACCATCAGCACCTTCAACGCTTGCACCTCCATCGCCAGGAGCACCATTAGAACCTTCTGCCCTCAGCTTCTTCATCGCCAGGAGCACCACCAGTACCTTCTACCCTCAGCTCCTTCATCGCCAGGAGCACCATGGGTACCTTCCGCCCTCAGCACATTGACCTACAGGAGCACCTTCAAAGTGTAGGTCCAACTTGTCAAATTTTGCAAAGTTGTAAGAAAACTTAATTTTTCTGAACTACCATAAATGATTTGCAACTGTTAATATATATTAAAAGAAAGGTAAATCGATTACCATTCTTTTAATTATAATACTGTTAAAATCGCTTAACTATTTTATAGAAAATTTGCAACTTTTGAAAACATATATGTGCAAAGGAGTAGTAGTAATAATAAGCAATTGGCAACCACATAAGTATGTAAAAATATCTTTATTATTAATGTTAATTGTAATTTTTATTCATAATATTGATTACTAACTATGTATATTAGGTTAACAATGCATTTTGAAAAATAAATTTTGCAAAATAAAAATCAAAAAAAAATTTAAGATTTTTTATTTATTGTTTTTAAGGTTATTTTGAATTCGGTGTGAATAGAATGCAACCCTGTGCCAGCTGAAGTGGGCAATGCTAGACGAGTGCAGCTATATATTTTCCTTATGAAGTATCTGAATGAGTGCGACAGTGATGCAAGGATCACACGTACAGGGTGAAAGTGGTGACAATCTGCACACCATACAAATGTCACCAGTTTTGTCACCAGTTTTGAAGTGACTGAAACCCGCGGTTTCACCAGATTTTTCACCACTTTTGGCTGGCAGGGGAGTAATTGAAATTAGAAACCTTGAAAATACGTTTGAAAGGAGCTACCACCTGTTCAATTAACTAATTCAAAAAGTATATGAAACATAAAAATACTGTAGTCAAACGAAAGAATGTTAAGAAATCTTTAGTTTGAACATTTCCAATGATTAAAGGGAGTTGCCACGTGTTTAAAAAGTTACATTCAAATTATTCATTAAGGTCGATGAATTTCTAAGAGATGGGTATAAATCGAAATGGATTTGAAAGGGATTTATTCTGGACCTTTATTTAGGAGGGTTGCCATTTGTTCGAACATATGTATCACAATGTCCGATAAAAGAAATTTAAGAAGATTTTTTGCTTTGAGAATACTTTTAAAAAGGAATTTCAAAAATGAGAGGTCAAATTATAGGTTTTTACCTGTAGATTCATGATAAAGTTTTATTTTTTTAACTAACAACTTTTTTCGCCGGTATAGGGTGTTTTAAAATTCGATTAAAATAAAGTGGTCGGACTTCTACCACATTGTGGTAGATCTGCCACTTTCTTGAGCATCTACCACATCTACTATTCAAGGTCTGAGATCCACCACAACAACTTAAGAGCAAAAATTGTCCAAGACTAAAAACTATATGGTGACAAGAATGATATAATACAAGATTCCGCAATCTCCGCGACGATGAAATTTCTGTCTTCTTACTTTTAAACAAAGCTGAATGGGAGGATAAAATAAACTGTAAAATAGTAGATTTTCTCAATAATCACTTTTTAGCAACTTCAATCTTGCTTTTTATTATGCTAAAATTAAATTTGTTTTAGAGTCTAATTAAAAAGTTCGCAATTTAGGTGAAACCTTGCAGAATTTTCTTAATTTTGGTACAAAGCTTGATCCAAACCCAGAGATCTACCAAATTTGTTTGAAGTCTACCACATTTTTTTCCTGATCCTACCACACAGATTTTTTTTTTAAGCCCGATCACTAATGTGAGACTGCTCTTCACTCAGAAACGGCTGAACGGTTTTGATGAAATATGGCACTCGGATCTCTTATAACTCTGACTAACATTTAGAATATTTTTTAAGTTTTTGAAACCATCGAAAAGGAAAATTAAGTCAAAAATGGTAAAGTCTTGATTATAAAAAGGCAATAAGGTGACCATCGAAAAGGAAAATTAACCTAAGAATGGAAGCGTCTTGCGTCAGTACTTATTTGCGTGATTTAGTTATTTGCAAATAAAAAATTAACTCAGCGTTTATACGGCAAAGCGTTTATTTGCAAATAATGCGTGCAAATAAACGTGGTATATGATTGACACATCTTGAAAATTCTAAACTCAAAACTATATTTTAACAAGAATGAGTTTTAACTTACGATTATGACTTTATGGCCAGTGTACTTTTAATTTTTCGATGAGAGCTTTTATAACACATAACTAGCATATTGCCATCGGATTGGCATATCTCTTCAATAAATTCTGTATTCGTCACCAATTATTAAACTCTAAACATTTTTATTGGTTGACCGTGGTAGGTTCCTGTTTCGATTTATGTGCATTCACACAAACAAAATTGTATATATACTTTTTTTTTGTTATTTCGGCACTTTTTAGTGGTATGCGCAATTATTTCATCAACATTTTGTTAAAATATACTACCGCTTGGCAAATCCTAATATTTAACCTAGTCAATCTACACCAAGAGTGTGAACACCTTATTAGCCACATATTTCACTGTGTAAATACACCTCTGCGCTTCACTCAATTTCCGACGCCATTTCAACAGTACCGCGATTGTTTCCGTCGAGTGTGTGTTAAAAAGTTCTGAAAATGCTCAAGTTTGCGTTAAATGAAGTGAAAAGTTTTAGTTTTCTATAAAAAATAGGTAAACTAAGTGTTTTAATGAGCAAATTACATAAATGCATGCGCGAGTAGTGTTTGTTTTAGTTTTCATCGCGATATACATATGTAGTTTCGATGGGATGCGCGAGTGGCTCGGGCCGGCCCGAAAAGTTTTTTTTTCATTAAATTGAAGTGTAGTTGTGCAATCCTCATCTAATTTGTGAAAGTTATAAGGTGAGTGAATTGAAAAAGCCAAAGAATTATATGTGTATATGTCTGTATGCAAATTGCAGGCTTCCTATTTTTGCATGTTTAGAAAATTTTCATCAGTATGCTATTGGGTTTTTTGTTGGTCATATTTGATCCCCCTATATTTCATCTTAATTTATGTTCGCTTTATAAATCCCCAGTAAGTACAAATATTAAGTGGGTTCGGTGGCATGAATTTAGGCGCAGGTCGCAACAGCTTAAAGCCAACAGTGTTTGTTAAATTTTTGCTGAAGCAGTGATGTACATTAACATTTTCTGGTTTCAGGTGTACCCTGTCCTGGCATTTGAGCGAGGGCTCGCTCCACAAATATGGGCCAAACAACTGCTATTTTCTCGCCAGATTGCGCGAAAAGCAGCAAAAGCAGAGAACTTATATATATAGAGATGGTGCAAATTGAAAGTGGAAACAATTCGTGGCCGAAAATTTAACTGCGTTGAAAAATGAGACTACTTAACTTTTTCAACGGTTTTAATTTTTCGGCTACGAATAGTCTCCACTTCCATTTTGCACCTTCTCTATCTTAGTTCTCTGATTTTGCCATCTTTTCGCGCCATCTGGCGAGCAAATAGCTGTTGTTTGGTCAGCATTTGTGGTGCGAGCTGTCGCTCAAATGCCAGAACACGGTACATCTGAAACCCAATTATGCTGTCTTACATTTATTTATATATCCCAACTAAATTCTGTTCTTTTCAAGTAATATAACATTCTACAAATCTTAGTCCTTATATTTTTATATACAATGTCTATAAATAACGTTTTTTTTTATAAATTATTTGCCAATGTTGGAGTGTACTAAAGTTGAAGCAATCCTGTGTATTCCATTTTGCCCTTTACAAAATTGCCACAACACTTTTGTCCCCCCGTTTTGACATTTGTGCGTCGTGCTGTCAAAAAACTTGCAAGCAAGCGACGCCGGCAGACGTTTTGGTTAAAAAGTTGAATAATTTTCTTACAAACATTTGAAATAAGTGCATAAAAAACATCTCAAAAATGGCTTTTAAAGGCAATACGAAAGTGCAAAAGGTGATGGTGCAGCCCATCAATCTGATTTTTCGTTACCTGCAAAATCGTTCACGCGTACAAGTGTGGCTGTATGAAAATGTTTCGCTTCGCATCGAAGGGCACATTGTTGGCTTCGATGAATACATGAATCTAGTGCTGGACGACGCCGAGGAAGTCTGGGTGAAGACTCGTACACGGAAGAATCTAGGGCGCATCATGTTGAAGGGTGATAACATAACACTGATACAGAATGTGAGCCCATCAAAGGATTAAATAGGCGTAGCAGGAAAGCGCCACACAAAAGTGAGGTTATGTGCGACTGCCAATGGATGGGCGCGATATCGATGAAGGTAGAATTTCTAGACGTAAACGGTGTTGACTTGACTTAAAACAATGCATTAAATAAATAAAATAAAATAAATTCATAAATACAATAACTTTAAACTGTATGCAAAATGTGTAATTTTTGTAATGCTCTAAAAACTCAGGTTGCACCATGAAGGGGAAAATGAAAAAAGCATGTATTTTTACTAAACTAAAAATTAAGTTAGTTCATAATGAAAAACTTGTAATTGAATTTTTAGGTTTGGTCTGATTTCAATGAAAATGAGAAATAAATGTGAAATATGCAAAAACAGAGCTGATAAGCAAGTGTGATTAATTAGTAATAAAAAAAGGAGAATGCAGGAATGGCTGTGAAACTTTTAAATTATACACGGTACGCCTTTATAACGACCAACATTCAAGTGCTAAATCCTTTGTAAAATGACGCTTTTGTGCTAACTCGTAAATGTTAAAATTTTTCCCAGGTGCCAAATGCGCTGCTTCGTTTATGGAACGCTGCATAATTTACATTGGTGAGAATGCCAGTGAGTGTGCCAAAACCAATGCTTTTCTGAATTTGACCAAGGACGCATTGGTGAAGTTGATATCCTCAGATTACGTAAGTAAGCCTATCACATTACTAATTATTCTTGTCATGTTAATATATTTCTTTATTCAATTAGTTTTGTCTCGAAGAGGAGGACGTCTGGCGATGCGTGCTCGCCTGGGCTAAGAATCAAGCTGGCGTCACACAACCCACCGCACATTGGACTGAGGAGGAACGTGCACGCGTTTGTCAACACCTATCGGGTGTGATGTGTCACGTACGTTTGCTGTTAATCGATAGTCAAGTATTCGCAGAGGAGGTTGAGCCTACTGGTGCTGTGCCTATGGAACTGTCATTGGAACGTTATCGTTATGCAGCTCTACACTCTAATAAAACTGGTGGCAGTGGTAGTAGTGTTGGCGTTGGTGGGGGTTCGATGATGCCATCTGTACCGGGTATGACGGAGGATGATAAGCGTTTGCAGCCGCGCTTAACAGTCAATATGTTCCCAGGATCGCAATTGTTGCGGAATGATAAACTGTATTTACAAAGCGTACTGAATGGGTGGTAAGTAATTGCCACCGCAGGAAACTTAAAAAAAGAATAAATTTTCCAAATAAGCAATAAATATTTTATCGCTACTCATAATATATCTGGTAATTTTAAGGTATGGCATGCCTAAACAATCTTGGCGTTTAGTGTTTCGCGCCTCAACCCATGGCTACTCATCGAGCGCTTTCCACCGTTACTGTGATGGTGTGGCACCTTGCTTTGTTGTTGGCATTGTAAGTAGTACATAAGTGGAAAAGGAAAGTAGTTTACACATTCATTATATTCCCAATTTAGGGTTCGCGTGGCGAGCTAAGCGGGGGCTACACAGATGTTGCATGGGCAAAAACGAGTCGTAAAGGCGGCTATATACATTCGGAGCGCGCATTCTTATTCGCGCTCAATCCCGCTGGTGGTGATCCATCCGTTAAGTTTGATATAATCAAGAAGCCCTATGCCATATGCTATCACCCAGAGTGAGTAACGAATACTAATTATCGTTTGCTTAGCAAGATATGTAATTAACAATTGTTTTCTTTCTTTTGTCATCCAAAAGTTGCGGTCCTATTTTCGGTGCTGGCGCTGATTTGCTCATCGCCAATAATTGCAATACGAATATGGATTCGTATTCGAATTTGCCTCATTCGTATGATGGCCCTAACGCCTCTTACTTGACACTCTTTGGTGATTACAATTTCACGGTTGTTGACTATGAAGTCTATACGTTATCCACAACCACAGCCGTCGGCAGCGCAGGCGGCATAGGAGCAGTAGGCGGCAGTGGCAATGGAAATAGCAGTAATAATAATAACAACAGTGGTATTTCGGGCAATAATGGCAGTAACAGTAATAAAAATGGTTCATCATATAACAGTAGTGGCAACAACAATAGCAGCGGCAATTTGTCAACGAATATCGTTGGCGGCAGCAATGGTGGGGGCGTGGGTGCTGGCAGTGGTGGAGTTGCTGGCGGCATGCACAAACCAAAGTATGAAAGATATTGATTGGATATATATATATATATTTTTAATTTCTTAATGTTTGTACTTCCAATTTGGCTTTGCTGTTATTTATGCATTTAAAAAGTCTAATTAATCTTTGACTTTTTTCATAGCTTTGCGCCATTAAATAGATATACATATGTGCACTTAAAATTTATTTAATATTTTTTAAACAATGTACCTACTTGTTTGTTATTTGAGTCCACATGGAAAATCGAGCCTCAGTACTTGTAACTTCTTGAGCTGACGCATACTAAAAATAAAGCTAAATGCTCTACACTAAGCTGGGTGCAAAAGAATTGTGTAAATGTGCGGATGAAAAATTTAGTGGTAAAGCGTTCTCAAAGGAGATATTCCATGTTTGCTATGCATATCTTGTAACAAAACTTTAAGCTGTATCGAATTCGGCCGTTCTTTAACATTATCCATCACCATGTTTTTACAACGTAATCCAGGATTATAGATAAAAATCGAGGTAAGTTTATTTGGAAATATTGTTATTTAATGTTTTATTTGATTCAAGGAATGTTTCTCGATCGGTCTCAAATTTTATATTCTACGCTTTAATTAGCTAGCAGGAATGTAGTACGTTTTTCTATCTGGATTAGCCGTTGTTTTTTAGCGACTACTTGGTTCTGCCTTGCTTAGCTAATCTTGCAAAAACATAGAAATACACTTACAGCTTAATTTTGTGTGAAAGCTTAAAATCAAACCTTCCAGGGTGTAGTATGGGATTTCTAGGGAGTGAGGAAGAGGTCTAATTAATTTTTAAAGTCATTTTGGGTTTCAGGGCCCCGATTTTTTATTATTTTGAAACTTCTTTAGCGGCGTTTGGCTGGTTGGGAGTAAATTGGCAAATTCAACGGAAATTGCACACGGAAATGGTGCAACAGAACTGATGCAACGGAAATGGTTGGGGCTGAAACAGGTGCTTCTTGCTTAGACAAAGACCAATACAAGAATGTAAGTAATTATAGAGAAAATGATATAGATGGAGCAACAGAGACTCAATCTGTACACTATTTTGGGACTTTTAGACATTTTCGGGACTTATCGATATAATAATCGATATTGTTATCGCTTTTGTTATCCATATCTTCGGAACCTAACGATATAATTATCGATATCGATTTTGTAATCGATATTTTAAACGATTTTGTTATCGATTATGTAACATATTTTTAGCGATTTTTTATCGATATTTTTTTAATCGATATTGTTATGGGTTTTGTTATCGACATTGTTGTAGATTTTATTATCGATATTTTTATACAAGTTATCGTTATTTTTATCGGGTTTGTTATCGACTTTTTTCGATTTTGTTATCGATATTTTTATGGATTTTGTCATCGATATTTTTATCGATTTTCTAAACAATTTTTGTTATAGATTTGGTTATCGATATTTTTATCGTTTTTTTGTTATCGATTTTGTTGATAATTTTATCGATTTTGTTATCGGTATTTTTTATAGATTTTCTAATCGATTTTGCTACCAATATTATTATCAATTTTGCTATTGAAATTTTTATCGAATTTGTCATCGAAGTTGTTATTGTTATTTTTGTTGGTTTTGTTATCGATATTTTGTTGGATGTTACTATCGATTTTGTTATCGACAGAGTATAAAGATAAAAATGATGAAAAAAGGAAAACAGAATAACATAAATGTAATTAGAAGGAACAGGGGTAGAAGTAGGGATTTAAATAGCAAAAAGACAAAAAATATAACCTTAAGCAAAAGCAGATATACGTATATATGTATGTATATTGGTTATGAGACAAAATAGATATGAAACGTAAGTTCCACTTCTCCAGTGTGTCCCAGGCGCACTTACTTTTTTTAATTCAATAAGTGCAATCACACCCATCATGGTGCACCTGGTACAAGAAATGCTTAAGGTAGTTCCTATCACAAAAGTGAAACAAACATCAATGTCTTTAGCGCAAACATTGATAGCCTTGTGCTTGCGTGTAGTAAGCTCACCACCCAGCGAATAACGACAAGTAAGATGACTGCGTATAGACACAGGGCAACGATATCATCACGGGGCACCGCTCTAAGACCAACTAGCCTCCAAAGCCAGGTACGACGTTCCGACAGGTGTTTGGTGACGCCACTGATTAAGAGGACTTCGGGAATATTTAAAAGGACAGGACAAGAAAGACGCTGTATGGTTAGAGGGGAACTTCACCTTTGATCATAGTACAAGGCTAACCCTGCTACAAACAAAACCCTGTGGACTGAGTGGGTTACATTATGTTTGACGAAAACTCGTTCAGACCGAGAGCATATCTTTAGTGTCTTCTCACTTTACTGTCACCAAACCTGCACAGTTCTGCTGTGAGGACTTGCTGGCAGCGAGGTGGTGCTTCAAAGACAAAAACACGGGGAATACGACGAGGGTAGATCGGCTTTTCGAAAATATTTTGTCGAGTGGGCTGAGTATATTGAATGTGGGTACCAAGCCAACATTTGTAACGCGCAGAAGACAGGAACTGATTGATCAAACCCTATCTAGATCTCGCT